CTGCATCTGTCATCACTCGTAAGGAGGAAGTGTCCTCCTCACAGAGATCCAGAAAGTCAGAATCTGTAAGTTGCATGCACTCTTTTGCACATGGTTTATCGTTGAAAAGATTGAAAATTTTATTAAAGATTTGATTAATGGGACAGGGAGAAATTTACTTAGCCTTTTCTCTTTGCCCTTTTTAAGGATCGAGATCGTGATGATAGACGGGGAAGACGGAGGTCACCATCACGGGGAAGATCCAGGTCTCGTTCACGTTCCAGGTCAAGGAGTAGAGACAGGTCAAGGAGATCACGTTCACGGGGTCGCTCTGGACGCAGTAAATATGAGGACAGGAGAAGGAGATCACCACCAACCAAAAGGTAATACTATTTTATTTTATTGCAGTAGCTCTACATGGTTATATATTGCTTAAATCATTTATTATACTCACTCTGGCTTACTGAATGATAGGACTGCCTTTACAAACAGATATCGTAGATCAAGAACACGCTCCCGAACCAGAAGTCCAAGACGGTCAAGAAGTCCACGCCGCTCCAGGTCAAGAGAGAGAAGATCGAGGTCTAGAAACAGGTCGCGCGCTCCATTAGTTCCAAGAAAACAGGACATCGACCGAGGCAGATCAACCGCCTCCAACCCCACGGTACACCAACGGGGCCCCCACGGAAAATCAAAATCATTGCCTAGAGGTGTGTACTGTAATTTTACTTGTTTTGACTTTGAGTGATTTAAATATAATTTAGGTCTTCTTAATAATTCTTTCTTGGTACTTATAGTGGAATTTTGCGTGTTATTGCGATTTAACAGATGAAAAGAGAGAAAGTCCACATGGAACCTCACCTGTTGCTGAGGTGAGACCAGAGCCAAGGGAAGTGGTCCACAGTTCCGTTATCCAAAGTTGTCATTGCGGTTAAGCATACAGATTTTGTGGCACACCCACCAGCAGGCAAAGAGAAACAGAGGTGTCGTGATTGATGGTAAGTGGAAGTTCATGTCATTTTTCTCTTGTTTTGTTTGATTGTATGTGTAGGCAATATCTGATTTAATTATTTAATTGTGTGTGTGTGTGTTGAGTGTTGTGTGTGTGTATGAGCGTGTGATGTGTACGAGCATGTGTTAGTGTATGAGCGTTTCGTGTAATGTGTATGAGGGAGAGTGATGTGAGTGTGAGTGTGAGGCTTGTGGTGTGAGTGAGAGTGAGAGAGCGTAATAGTAAGTACACAAAGCAATAATTTTTGGACTTTAGATACAGAAATGTGGACAGAGAAAACAAGTCTGATTGTTAGCAAAATTTCACAATATATATTCACCGATTTGATTTGTGGGGTTTGGATTAATTAAGTACATATATTTAAAATCTGGTATATGCAAATGCGTGTGTGTGTGCTGTGATGAACACTTAACCCATTGGATTCGGTGCCTTCCGAAGGCCTCCTTGAGCTGAGTGGTGGCTCTCCTGGGTGTGGTTTGTAGGCCTCCAAAAACAAATGGCTCATGCATAGTATAAAACTTGACTGCTCTGGATATGCTATTAGTTCTTATACTGTATACACATTTCCTTGCTATTTTAGAAATTTCTGAGGTCTATACTTGTCATTTGTTATTACTGCATCAGAAATAGTAATATTGTTCTCATTGAAATTATCTCTCCAGTAGTCTGCAACACACACTCATTCTCTCTCTCTCTCCTCTCTCTCTCTCCTCTCTCTCTCTCCTCTCTCTCTCTCTAAATAGATATTCAGTTTTCCATCAAATACCATTCCCTGCCAGTCAGTGGGCAGGAATGGTTTTCTTGCGTATGGAATTAGTGTTTCCCTTTCTAATGCTCACAGACTCTAATCTCCTCAAGAGCTTTTTACCTCGCGGTTGAGATATCCCTTCAGCCACCGCGCGTCTAGCAATTTTCTACATGACAATAATTCCTGTCACCCTAGCCTCAGCTGATTTTTTAAATGACAATACAATTTCTAAAACACCCACCACTCGCCCAAATTTTTGATGATTGACATCACCTTCACCTCGATCCAATGGGTCTATCGGATAAATTGCCCTAGACCATAGTGGCGTAAAACTTATTTTTCCAAATGTTGATAGGTTAATGAACAATGCTAATAATGTCTGTAAATGGTTTTTCATTTTACTGGGACACTTGATGTAAGTTGCGATAAAAAAAACATACAGCACATGACACGGGATGTTGTCATCTTGTAGTGCCCAGTTTAAACCCCTTTGCCGCCGGGTGACGGCGATACGAGTGTAAACAAATCGCTTCAAAGGTGGCGTGCGGCCAAACCAGGCCGGCGCGGCCAAAGCGCGGCGAGCCAGTGATTCGGGCTGAAGCCCGTACTCCGGCGCTTCCCCACAGTCGGCGCGCTGCCTTTGTTTGCAGAGGTAGAGTTTTTATTTCCTTTTTTAGTCACCCGGCGTCACATTGGGGTTAAAGACAGGTAGCCCCACTTCCATTTAGCCTGTTCAACTCAAAAATGAAATTGAATATTTT